TTGTCCAGTTCCAGAATCAATCTTCACAATGATGTTCAATTCTAAAAAAAAAAAATCGTTAAAATAAAGTTACTTTGTATGTTAATTTTAGCAATTTAGGTTTTAAATTTGAGGCACACATATATTATATTAAAGTGTTCACATACTTGCTTTCTGTACTTGTGAAGAATCCAGCTCATCCAAACCTTCTTTAGCATATGCTAAATAATAATAATAAACAAGTAAATTATTAAAACGAAAGTGAACATTTCAAAATCAGCGTTTGTACATGTTTTTAGTTCTAATTAATATATCATTTATATTATTTACCTTCAAGTTTCCCTATAACTTCGTCATACACTTCAGGGTTGATATTTACACTAATACCAGGGGTAATTCCCACTTCTTCAAACATTGCTCGCAGCTCTGGTGGTATAATGATATACGATAGTTTTTCTGAAAATTCCCCCTTGCGATACTGCTTCCAAAACTCTTGGAAACCATTCTTTGATTTTGATTGAATGGTAAATACCAACGAGCCTTCTCTGATGTTTTCACATTTCAACTGGAGCGGCTTGAAAAGGCGTACCAACTGTTCTTCTGTGTCAGAATCATTTCTTTTACGAATCTTTTGTTCCCTTATTTTGTATTCATATACCAGATCTTCTTGACATTCCTCAATGGCTTTTAACTTTACTGTTATCTCAAAAGCTGTTACAAATGTTAAAGTAAGCTACTTAGCTTGATAGCTCTTTGTCTGTACATGATATATATGATAAATGGTGTTATAACAGTGACATTTGACATAAACTTAAAGGCCAGTTGGCCTTTAATTCAGTGCAGGTTTCAAAAGAATAATATAATATACATACACGTATCTGTCTTTTTCCTTTTTCGATCAAAAGATTTTGGCGAGGGAAGTCTTCTCTTGACTCCTGAAAGTTGCACACAGAATATGGACCAGAGTAAACATATTTAAATATATTAAACATTTTGTTTCATTCATGTAGACAGTATGTACATTCGAATGTGTATATGAACAACTATAAAATACAGACAGTTGAATAATCTTACCTTTCCGTTGCACTGGTTTCTCTTGTGATAAATTATGAAGTAGGTTTAGAAGGTCTGTGTGAGATTTTGCAATTACACCTTTTTCCCCACAATCCAACAGGTCATCTCGACATTTCCGCGCAGTCTCAGCAACCTTTGGATAATTTTGAAGAATTTCCATTATTATATTAAACCATTCTTCATCTGAATTCTCATGAAGAACAGTAAACATTCTACCAAAATGGTAAAAGTTATCCATGAGAAATTTGGCTGCTCCAGACTGACGGCTAAGAAGTGCAGGCACACCAGCAGCAAGAGCTGATAGAGCGATGATACCAAAGGGGTCCCTCCTCTGGCTATTTAGGAATACGTGGCACTGCTTAAAATCATCACATACATCATCCAGAGTTCTACGTCCGAAGGTGATAATCTTCAATAATTCAGACTTCGCTTTTTTTTCCAGTTCACACTTTTGGATATCGTTATTTTTTGTTATGCCACAGAATTTCCAGCAAGGTGTAATCTCCCCTACTTTAAACGAATCAGCCACTCTTCCCATCGCGCTCGCAACAGCACCGTAGTCTTCATAGTTGGATACAAAATCAACCGATAGTATTTCAATACAAGTGCTCAGGTCTTTCTTTGTTTTAAAAAGATTCAATTGCGTGAACATCTCGTCAACCCCCGGATAATAACAATGGTGTAGAGGACTTGCTTTGCCGTTCATAATTTCCTCGACTTGATCGAAAATTTTCAGTCCAATAGATACAATAAGGTCTGCTTCTTGTAATAATTCATTATCACTGGATGGAAGCTTGCTGTTTGTTTCATCCGGTATACGGTGATTAAATATTGCCAACTTTGCATCGGGGAATACCTCAATCTGAATGCTCCTGGCTGCATCTATCATTCCATCTTCATAGGTATGCCCGATTATAAAACTAATATCCTTATACGTTTCCAGGTGAGGGAAATATTTTTCATGAAGTAGTAACCAATTGCGGGTTGGAGACTTGTTTGGTTTTACTTTTGGTAAGATAAGTTGTACTCCATGCCTTCTGGCATTTTCAACTTCTTCTTCTGTAGCCCACAACACTGTGCAGTACACTGAATCGATTTCCTTTGAGATGGTCAGGGTAATATCTTTCTGGATTATTGACAGGGCAAGATCACAGTTCTTCGGCCACCACTCCAGTCCTACAACCAGTGCGTTTCGCATGACTAACACCTAAAGTGATATATATGATATACTAGTTGAAGAATTAGTATATGTTTATTCTTAATGTAACAGCTTTACATTGGCTATGTAAAAGCGTTTGGAAATTCTTAATAACAAATTCAAAGGATAAAGATGATAAGTTGAATTACTACATGAAGTATGGTGTGTGTTGAAACTGTAGCAACCTGTGATCATTGAATTGAGACCATATATAAACATGGCTGTTTGGTTCCAGTGTGGAGGGGACTACCAGAAAACACCAGAGTATTTACTCTTTTTAAAGTAGAGCGTTGTTTGGATAAGAATTAGGGTATAAATTGCATGATCACTGTTGTAATAATTGAAAGTTACTTCAACCATACACCACCTTGCTTCAAAACATGTTTTCACGATTGAAATGTGTGATTTCTTTACTGATCCAGTTATGTTTGAAAGTAAATTGCATGGTACTGGGTGAGAAAATTAGGGACATGCAAGCTCTTTTGTATGGTATGCGTTTTCCACATTTATAAAAATAATACATTTTATTCAACCATACTTTTGACTTGAATGTGACTTGATGGCCTGGTATGTTATTATATGTGTGGAATATACACTACCCGAAATCAATACAATTACATTTGCATTGGATACTGATGCATTTATTAAAAATGTTGGTGTTTGAACAAATTTGTGTCCACACTTATAAACCTAACATCAGAACATTCAAATGCCTTTGATGTCTTCCAATGCCTTCCTCTACTGACTTTACCCTCAATGTTCAACTTCTTGAATATTGTTATTTTTCCTTCATATTTATGTGTACCACTGTAGTTTGCAGCTCCCCGTTACGTTCTCAATGATAGAAAATCCAAGACATTCTCTCAGTTTGAGCTGGCAACACAAATCCACTACAAAGGACACTTTTCACAAGTGCATCTACATGTTTTGAAACAAAGAGCGACAACAATCCTGTAGTTAGAATAGGTAGCAAGTCATGTAACTTTTTCCATGCTTCCCTGATACTAGCAATGGAACTTTCTCTACATCTACCACCTGCAGCAATCATATCTTCTCCTAAGTAGCAACACGGTCTAATGAATTGATCATACCCAACATCCAGTTCTATTTTCTCAAGCCTGTGTTCTCAACAAGGCAGCTATTGCATTCAAAAGAACCAGTAAATGACCGAGGTAGTAACATCTCTATAGCAATGAGATCTGGTGGGTATCTATGAGTCATCCGGGTGTCCGTTGATCGTGGCCTATTTTCACTTGATCCTTTGAACCGGTCACTGTGTAGGTAAATATACTTGAAAGATACTTAAGTGTCTTGCAGTGGCTTTCATTGCTTCATTGGCTTGCACTCGCAATTTCCTAATACATGCAGGTTTTTTTCATGATGATACCAACGTCTCGTCATTGTGTACAATATTAACAATATTAAAGACGGTTTGTGAGCTATTGAAAAGTTTACGAATATTAAAACTAGTAAACTTCCTGTGTTCCACTATTTAATATTGTATAGAGAACGTGCATCATCAAACTCAGCATGTATCCAAGCAAGCCCATTAGGCCATTTTCTCAGTCAACCTGAAACGACAGAAGAAATGTCATTGCATGCATTTCCGCAAACAAAAGGCCTAGGCCTATTTAAGAAACAAACTAATAAATTAACAATATAAATAGTCATACTTACCTTGGAATAACACCCTTTCATATCCACTATCTTCTCACAATAACCACTAAAAATCTGCTTCTTTTCGTCTGCTGTGTACCATTTGGGTGTGTTTAAAAGTTTAAAGTATGTGATAAATAAGGTTGTAACACCTCACTGTTGAAACAATTTTCTGATTGTAATCTATATATAAATTTGATCCAATAAGCAACGTTGTATGTCTTTATGTAGTTAAAATTATCAATTTTGCGGTAATATTCTACATGAACTTATCAATTTCACCTAGTCTCTGGATGAAGTTTTTGCCGAAGACCCGACACTGAGCAAAGCCAATCAAGTTATGGTTGCCCTGATGAGCAAGACCCTTTCAGTTTATAATAAAATTATAATAACATTAATTTGTAAAAATTGGAATCTTGGACAATTTGTGGGAAACGGTTATTGTACTTGTTTTACGTCGCAATATAGCACCTTGGTATCGATTTTGACAATCCCGTCTACATGAATCGTGTTATTTTAAAGCAAAATGTGTTGATGTTTTTTGGATACATGTGGCATTGTAATTGGTTGTACTGAAGTATGTAGAAAGGTGATCCAACATAATATTTACCACACTTTTTTTTTAATTTATGTGAATTCTCTGTGTCCGAGAGCGAGTGTGCCTTGAATTTGCTGATTGTTATTAATCGTTTGTTTTCATGTGATGATGTGGTACCAAATAGAATAGTAACAACAGTTAAAAGTACCAGATACTGGTCTTGTAATAATGTGGCTCAGGTAATCATTATTAGTTTTCTAATTACAGCCTGCCAAAACTATTCAACGAATTTAGGTAGAATGACTGTAGTAATTTCGTTATAGCTTGAAATAAATACTGGTCGTAATTGACAGGTCGTTTGCGTGACAAGGATTCAGTCGAAATAATCAAATACAACAATAATGAAACTGTTAGAGTAGACTGTTAGAGTAGCGTACTTTAGTTACTTTTAGAGACTACCTAAATCACATGCCGACTTTCAATTCGTTTCCCCACTGTTGCTACCTTAATATCACTGACACTTAAAGATAGCTAATTCCTACTTTCAGTTTCTTCCACAATAGCTAAAAGACACTAACTAGCACAAAACTGTAATATGTATTATATATATATATATATATTGCTGTGATAATCTAAGTACCACCTTATATGCTTCAGCTAGTCAATCAAATGCGAAGTCCCATTAAATATACATTTTGAAAGAAACATTGGGTTTGCTGTGTGCATTGGCATACACTATCAATTTGACTGTTGATAGTAGTTTCTCAAAAAATATATTATCGAATTAGCTATTAGATACATTGCAGTGGAGTTGCAGGAACGACCAGAAATTTTCATTTTACGACTGATAAACATGGGCGTAGTAAATCACAGTTTTAACAATGGGATTTAGAACAGCATTCCATATAGTGTTCGGAACAGTCAAAAACAACAATAGTGAAATAAGCTGTCAGTTAATAATTCAGACAGACATTGCATGGCATATGCACTACTGTGTTACTCTATGTCTAAACTTTTGTATGATGTTTAGACTGCCAGAGTAGCATGCTTTAGTTACTTTTAGAGAATACCTGACAGACCGAATTTTAAATTGATTTTCTGACTTTCAGTTTCTTTCACGATGGTTAAAAGAACACTAGAGCACATAACTCTAATTTCATCTGGGCGTGTATGACTGTTACTGTATTTACAGATATTGATGTGATTATCTGAGTATTGGATGGTATGCTTTAGCTATTCAAACACATGTGAAGTTCCATTAGATAACAATTTTGAAAGAATCACTGTGTTTGCTGTGTACTTGGACACATACTCTCAATTTGACTGTAAGGATGGCAGTCGTTTCTCAACAAATATGTTATTGAACTAGATGCATTTCAGTGAACCTGCAGGGATGGTCAGTTCATAAATACAATTCGAAGTCGTTGAAAGTTACTTTTTACGACAAATGAACATCACCACGAGTGCTAACGTGTTTTCAATCATTTGGATTTGAGAATATGTTATTCGTATAATAATTTCACGTAGGAAAAAAATCAAGTAATAATGTAATGTAGACAACGGAAGCTCAGACTATAGAATAGGACACGTCTATATCGATGTCGAACCATCTTGTTTACTGCCGCGTCACTGTTCAGTGTTGGTTCATAAATCCACGGAAAGAAACGCATATCGCTACATTTATACCACAAACCAAGAGAAGAACAAATTTAAGATGAAGCTGGAATGAATGAACAGGCGCCAATATATGAACAGAACAATATACCACAACCAAGTATTAATTATTTTAAATTTAGTTGAAATCTCCGAGAGCGCGACCGCCTTCAACTTGATGACAAAACAATGTTGTGGTTTGTTATTTGTTTTTTTCCAAACGAAGAAAGTTTGAACAATATATACACTTTTTCATACGAATATAAATATAGGTTATGGAACATGAAGAGCGAGTGCTGCTTAACGTGTGGCATTAGGTTTATCAACAAATACATTGTTTGATCAATTAATTAATTATAAATAGATCGCTTCGTTTGAACACTTGAAAGCGATACTTCACTAAATGCTCAAAATATTCGGTGTATGGACAACATTCTAGCATAATTTTTAAGTATACAATTGATATGACTTGGCCTAATATCTTATCTAATATACATATGTTAGCGCTTCACAACTAAACATTCGTTCTTGATTGAATTTTCCAGTTTATTTGTTCAGTGTAGAACACATAGCTTTTTGAGTTAATTTTTAAGACGTAATATATCGTTGTTTGCCCAGCTGCCAGGAAATCTCTATCTGAGATCTACTAAACATACTCTGAAGTAGTCAGTGGTGTACGTAAACAAAAAAATGTTGTGAAAATGTTAATTGACACTCGTAATTTTGTTTATCGAAATATGTTTCTAGATGTCCAATTTGGCGAAATATTCGTACGATAGTTTTCGTCAAAATTCACTTTCATAGTTTTAACAAAATAAATGGTTTCTAAAGATCACAAAAAATAGGGGAAAAAATGAACAACAAATTGTGGCAAACATATAGGGGTTTGCATAACTCCAAAATATTGTGAATCTTCTTTATTTTAGACAAAAATATTTCGTTTTGTGAACTATAATTTACGGTAAAGACTAAACATAATTATGTCTGCATAACGTGTCACACCTAAATACACGTGATTTATTGTTTTTGTCTGGAGTAACTAGAGCACGCATAGCATGATTTACTATGGTGATGTAAATTGATTTTTTATTTTCGTTTTGGAAAATGTTTGAGGTTAATAATGTGTAATGTGGTTTCTCAATTTGTTCAGTTGCCTATGCTCGGGCTCGATTCAAGATGGTAGCCCAATATATAAAATATCGGTAATTTAATTGCAATTAGCTGAGTGTGCATATGATTCGGAAAAACAAAGTGAGCAGACGCCGTGACAAGCTAAAATTTTAAAAACGTTGACAATATTAATAAAAAAAATTATGGCGGAAGGTTTCGCAACCATATCTCACCCTATATAGTATTGCAGTGAAATTCACTACGACGTTTGTACCGGCAGCTGCGACCTAAAACTCCAGACCTACACGGCAGTTTACGAAATATAATTGTTATCATCAATGCTATCTGAATTGTATATACTAGATACAATGTGCCGACTGTGTATCTCTAAAGCTTTAAGTGAGTTTGAATTATTCTCGGGGCGGAGCTACGTCACAAGACGTTCCACGTTGCCAAGACGCGCACCACTGTACCACGTATTTCTATGGGCACTGCGCGCTAATGAGGAACGCCGGTCGAGCCGGTGAAAATTCAAGAAAACAACACAAACTCAACTTTGAAGTAATTCTGAACAATCAAATTTATATGTGTTACATACACAGGAGTAATCTTGTTACACTGTTCAGGGGAGTCTCAACAACCATCCCAAAGTATCTTTTTTTGAGAGTGTTCTGCCTTTGTTTTCACAGTTATGGTTGCCATGCGGTAAAAATAACCAGATGTCAGCGCACGAAAATATGTATTCAAAATTGAGCGTTGTCGTCGCTGGAACATTTTGTGTCACAGTGCCCCTATTCGGTCAAAAAATTTATATTCATTCATATATACTAAATCAATTTATAACACGTCATTGCGAGACATAGCTTTAAGTCAGGTACTACCTGGATCGGTCAGACTATACCCTTTTCATATTCGGATTGGTGTAACTACGCGATTGAGTCGTTACTACACGATATTCGGTTGGATAGAAACTGATTTGAATAAGTTAACACGTATAAACACGAGTATTTGTTCAGTGTTAAACAGAAAAATAGGAACATTGAACTAAATATCGTTATCTACAAATAATTCGTTAAAATGCACAATACACTCGATACATGTTGCGTTATGATTATAAAAACATGACCATATAGCAGGATGCCATAGTCTTTGGAGTCCACATCTCATAACGATTCTATATGCAACATGGATCGGGAACCGATTGGGTCCAAGGGAGAAATCAGATAATTGTAGCTCCCTGACATGGCACGCTTCTCATCTTACCTGAACCCACTGCTTGGTGAGATAATTATTAATCCATGGTAAGCAGTTAGAAAAACTTGACCGCCCTAGATATAAACTTTGCTCGTACTAGAAAGTATTTACTTCATATTTTTAGATGAAGTTTTAATTCTTTTAAATTAAAAACAAAATCTAAAAAACGGTGATTTTTGGATCAGACCTAAACAATAAATTGGAAACTTCAATTATCTAGAAAATATATAGCATGTAGGTGGTAAACTGTGATCTTCAAAGAGAAACATGACGAGATGAGTTAAGATGACTAGTATGCTGAAATGTACTTCATGATTAATTACGAAATGTTAGTTAATAATCTAATTGCTATGGAAACATTCATGTAAAAACATTCGGAACTCTAGCGGTAGTTAGGGCGTGGTAAATCGATTGTTGTTTAACGAGAATTAAGTAAATACATTCGACATATCATTGTATAGATTTGTTGTTTCGTTCAAAAATTCATAAAAGTTTTCGTAGAATAGTTCGATGCAGTAAATTAAGCAATAGAAGTTA